AAACTACAGCTAAACTTATCTGAGCATTCACAATATTCTAGGCACTATTCTAAGTGCATTTCCTCTATCAGTGATTTACTTTTCATGCCAACCTTGTCGTCATCTCTACCTTAAAGATGTGGGAACGGATGCAAAGAGAGCTTAAATAATGTGCCCACAGTCACACAGCTACAAAGTGCAGCACCCAGGTTCTGAACCCTCCCACTCGGTCTTCAGACCTCACATGCTTAACCAAAAATTGCTTGGAAAAGAAAGTGAATTTAATTCTGACTAACGGTTATAAAATAAGCATGGAGTTTGGAGTTAAACCTTTCAAAGATGCATTTAAATTTTTATATCTATTTTTAATAAGTGAAGGAACATTTGAAATTCAAGTAAAAGCTGTGATGTGCTAGAGCTGGCTCATACTAGCTCACGAGAGCCAACCGAATGTAACTCTTTTCACTTTATGCTCAATGACATACCCTGCTAGCTTCAAATGGACCTCAGTGAGAGTCTTTTCACTATGGAGACTGGCAAACAGTTCAAGGCAGTGTTTTTTGTTTTTTTTTTTTCTCCACAGAGGCAGTTGTTAATCATTTACATAGCACACCACTGGAAAAGCCACCTTTGATGTCTCCTGTTGGGGCTCTTACCTATATATTTAGCATAAATAAAGTTTTTGGTTTTTTTTTCTGAAAACCAGTGAACTCTTTCCAATGCAATACAGCTCTATTTTTGAAGTTCTTCTCTTCATACTTTGAGTCTCTTCAGTCCCCTTTCCCCTTTTTCCTCAAATCATTTTCCAAGAGCTGTTTTTTCCTCCCACTCATCATTTTTCCAATAAAAGTCCTTCAAATTGATCTCTTTTTCCTCTACTCTGTTGAACTGATAGTTTTCTTATGCTACCAAGTTTATTTCTAACCAGCATCGGGGATTGAAAACCATTTAGGCTAGTTTCAGTAGTTATATGGAAACAATTTGCTAATTTATTGCTGTGAAAGACATTTTAATGAAGAACAATTATTCAATAGTCTGCAAAGATGGCTTTCCTGACCCTGTCTTTAAATAGCAGAGAGAAGAGCTGCCATTATTCCTTCAATGTTTCTATTTCTCATATACTTAGGGAAAAATGGCTCAAACCTTTTCTTGTCTGGATCAGGAATTACCAAATTCAAAATCAGGGCAACTGAGTCTTGACCCCTGTTGACCTCAGTTAGTTAAGAGCTGTCCTTGCTTCCCACATTTCAAGCACACTTTCACTGACTGACCACCAAGCACCCAACACACTGTCACACAGTACATAAAGAAGCAAATTCTAAGATCATGGCCACCTCAACCTTGCTGACAGGCTGTGATGTGCCATTACCTGAGAAGCAATAAGCAAAGAGGCAAAGAGAGATCTTTGAAGCCAGCAGTATTGTGGAAAGAGAGCAGACAGGCAAAAATGCATGTTTGAAAACTAATCCCAAAATATGGCTTTGCTTCCAGAAACGTCATCATTCAAGCCTGGCTATCTCCTGAATGTATGATGAGTGAAGGCAATGGTTTTCTCCATCTCTCTTCCTGCACTAAAGATTAAATGTGGGCCACAACAGTGGATCAGTGCACACGGTGCATGAGTGCTTACTTACTCAGGGCAATAATCAACTGAGATATATCTAGACAGACAGGCGGAGGCTGTCTTTGCACATCTGAGAGGGACTGAGTTACAGTCAGTGGTTGGTCAGGGTACATGATCAACTTTTGTGGGCTGTTTAACAGGAACCAAAGACCCTCATTATTTTTCTTCCTGAAAATGAGCACAACTTTCTCAGAGGAAGAAGTGGACTTAACAACAATGAAGGGGAACGAATAAAAACAAGATGTGAAGAGAATTTAAGATCTCGCTTTTCAATAAGAAAGCATAAACTTCTCATGAGATAAACAATGCCCGATATTTTGGTTCTTCCTTTGGGAATATATTTATACTTTGTGAAAACTGTCAACTAAGTCTACAAAATTGTTTAATTCGACAGAGTCGCTGGCATCTGAAGCAAATGGCATATATAATGCTTTGACTTGTTTTTAAATATTTTTGTGTCCTCTCAAGAACCCCATTTTAAATGCAAAATACTGGTCTCATTAAGGTTCTCATATTTTGGTAATGAAAAGCACAGGTGCCAAATGTATCAGTAGATACACAGTATTGTTACAGGTTCTTAAATATAAGAAATGGACAGAAATAGGCAATTCAATTCTAAATGAAATACAAAGGTAGCTTACTATTCTTTAGCTCTCCCCCCTCCCAACTCTTCTCAGCTTTCAGTGTTTCCCCCCCCCCATCTGTTCTATCAACAGGTTTGGGATTTATACAAAGAACCTGAATCTTAGAAAGTTCAAGATCATTTTTGTTGCTTAGAGTCTAAAAATATATCTGAATGCACACACAGCATGCTATTACTTCCACTAAATTACTGAAGGCATTCTAAACAAATAACCTTCTAATGTGAAAGTTGTGGCTCAGTAGTTGTGTGTACTGAAACACATATTGCATACTAAAGCCTATTGGATTGAAAAGCACAAATACTATTAATGCAAGCTTAAAATTCTCAAGAGAAGTACAATAAATGCTCTATCATGTGAGAAAGGAAATTGGAGGAAAAATTAAGACTGATAACTAAGTGTAAAACGTTTCCACTTTTGGAATGTCCGTCTGTTCTTTCAAATATTTAGAATTCTCTAGCAATTTTCCCGTGATTTCATTCTAGCTTTTAGGTTTGTCTGAACAAATTTCAGTGCTGTTTTCCTAGGTTACCACATATAATTTATTTTCCTTTGACTCTATCCCTTCCGGATTTAGCTTGTCTTATAGCGTAGAACACCTGGTCTCCACCTTCTGTGCCACCCCTCTGCCCAGCCACTGTGGAGCATGGCCATCAGTCTGGTGCTGCTTGCCAGTTTCCATAGAGACAGGAAGCACTTTGGAGACCTGTGTTCCATTGCAACTGCCAGACCAAGGCAGGGAAGAAGCAAAGCTGGCGGGCAGCGGGTCTTGCAAGGCCAGGAAGGTTGGAAGGGCTTTCTCCTCCTGATATCAGAGCATGACAGTGCCAAACTGGCAGCTTCAGCAGTTACAATCCTGGAGACCAGATCCTGGTGTTCACTATGGCCACTGTGAGCGACCCATCCTGCTCCGGACTCCTGGAGAAGAATCTCTGTGTACTCAAAGCTTGGCCCAGGGCCTTTGTTGGCTTCTGATCCATGACAAAAGGCTCTTTCAGATTTACAGTGGCTCCCACAGCTCCTGACCCAGAGAATCATAATTCTCCTGTAGAAATTTCACCTCTCTTTCCCTTTTCTAGAATGTGATAATAGGTTTTTCTGGACACTCATAGCAGACTAGGAAACCAATGGGATTACCATTGGTTTGTTTCCAATTAACCTACACAGTGACTGCGAGTAGGTGACCCAGTTAACTGTGCAACATCATATCAAAATCAGTTACCATTTGCTGTGTCTATGATAGGATTTATAATTAGAGTCAATTCTTGATTATCGGGATCAGGGCTGGCCCTGAAGAAATTTGTAATGTAGGTGAAATATAACACCAGCGCCTTCCCCTACATTTTTTTTTTTAAGATTTTATTTATTTGACAGAGAGAGAGACAGCCAGAGAGAGAACACAAGCAGGGGGAGCGCGAGAGGGAGAAGCAGGCCTCCCGCAGAGCAGGGAACCCGATGCGGGGCTCGATGCGGAGCTCGATCCCAGGACCACGGGATCATGACCCAAGCCAAAGGCAGACGCTTAACCATCTGAGCCACCCAGGTGCCCCATCTCCTACATTTCAAAAATGTCTTTGTGAGATTGTATACCTCAGCCTTCTGTATTATAGATATTCCCAGCAGTTTTTCTTTCTACCTAAAGTAGATTTCTCCAATTTATCCATTAATTTTATATTACTCAGCCATATCACAAAGTTTATATTTTCCTTAATTTATAAAATTCTGAGTTTCAGAGAATATTTATAAAATCCTAGGAAATGCTGTTTTATGACAGCTTCATGTTCTTGCCTAGTGTTCTTGCCTTGTATTGCTTCAGTATGTTTTAAAACATTATCCAATTTTTAAAAGAATGTCCAATATTTTAAAAACATGTATTTGTACAAAACCAGTTGTTTTCATTCTTTGCTTGTTTTTCTGCCTATTATTCTGTCAAAATGCATAACAAAAAGTTATTAAAATATAGACTCAGACTAGATTAAATATAAATATATCTAGCTTTGCAGCTGAAATAGATTTTTGAAATAAAAACATTAAAATATATTTGTTTTCATTAATTTATCTATATTTAATTTATTCTCTAAAATGTTTTGAATCTTCTCAAAAATTCAATTTATTGAATGAACATGTATAGTTTTTCAAGAAAAAATGAACTTGATGAATTGTTCACATTCATATTCATAAAGCTATTTCTCTTCCTATTCATATAGATCTTCAAGTATTGTAATGTGGAAAAATAAAAAGCAAAGGAAATAATTTTAAAATGAAAAGGAAACTACATGTCTCACAAAGCATTATAAAAGAATAAGATAATTTTTAAATTATTTTTATAAGTTCAAAAAAGGCTAACATGTAATTATCATGTGTGTATAAATTCATTTTATCTTTCTAGAATACTGCTTTCAGGGTGAATGAGCAAGACCTAGATAGAACGGACTAGCTTTACTTACTAACTGATGAACATTTGAGAGGCAGCCTTCCAGAGAAAAGAAATTTATGACCACAATCACAATCTAGTTCACAGTGAAACTCAATCACGTAACTAAATTCTAAATTGAGATGTCAAACTGGAGGAAATATTCTGGAAAGGAACACACAGATGGTAGGACTCTTCTGAAGACAGGGTGAGGAATATAGTGCTTAATGTACAATAATCAATCTTCTGGAAGAAAAAAAAAAAAAAGGACTGGCTGGGACATAACTGTTTAAAATTGAAGTTCCTAGGGAAAACTTCAACCTGAGGCTAAAAAGGGGGAAACGTGCTCACTTCAGCAGCACATATCCTAAAACTGGAAACATACAGAGAAGATTAGCATGGCCCCTGCACAAGGATGACACCTAAGAAGGGGGAAAATGATAACCCATATTTTCCATGTCATCGTGTAGGTCTTAGAATGTCCATATATTTAAAGAAAGGAACAAATAAAGAAGTTGAATTATAATACATTTTAGAATACTTAATAACCTCAAGGAAAATTAAAATTCCTAATAACATTTCTAGAAGCAAATTAAATGAAAAAGTGCAAGAAAATAAAGCAAGCATTATTAAATCCCAATTTCAAATACACAGTTGCTTAAAAAATACAAAATACAGCTAGCAAAATAAGGTAAACATAGTAAGGAAAGGAATAAATTGAGAAGACAATTAGGACTTCAGTCTGGTTTTTATGCTAGTATTCCCTCATTCGAGATGAAAACAACTATATATACCAAATCAAATTAATTGTTGCCTAATATATTGTTGCTAATTAGTGATTTCACTTAGTTGTAGGAGACATATTTTGATAACATCTTTCTTTTGTATTGTGCCACATATTTGCATACTCAGTAAGCATAAAATTGTATTGACTAGTAGCCAAGTTGCCTATAGATTAATGTTCTTTTCATATTTTGTTCTCTGCAGAAAATTTAAATAATTGCATTGGAACATTGAATAGAGATTTTCGTGTAAAAGAGCAACAGAGATGTCTGTTTGAATTATAACTCTTTGGATTAAAGGATGCAATAAGAAATTTTGAGATGCCATAGATACACTTAAGATATATCTAAGAAAAAATATGTTATCAAACATGTCATCCAATAACGTGCAATCAGTTCATATTAGGTGTACGAACTATACACATGAATGTATACAACGTTAAGGCTCTCTGAAAATTATCTTCACCTTTGTAGTGGATTTTGCCTCTAAAATATACTTCATGACATTAATTTATTCAACAAATACATTTTTTGTGCCAAGAATGTGCTTAAAATGGTAGGTGCTAGAGATAAAACTATGACCAGGTTAGAAATGATGTACAGTTTTATCTTTAGAACTTACAGCCTAGAGATAAGCAGTAAAACAAGAAAACAGAAATTTATACAGGAAAGCCTGGCTAAGAAGGTGGTGAAATTTTGGCTGAAACCTAAATGGGGAGAAAGACCCAGCCATTTAAAAAAATGCCAGAGGACAAAATGTTGGAGAGGGGTGGCCAGTATTCAAAAAGTAAGTTACCTGATGTAAAAGATCCTAAGCAAGAGGCAGGAAAGATGTTGACTATTGAAGGAACTAAAAACAAAACAAAACAAAACAAAAAACAAAAACTACTGAGTCTGGTGCCTGAAAAACAACAGACTAATGGCCCAATACAAGGTAGGAAAGAATGTCAAGGCCAGGTCATGCAGGGCTTTTTATGTCTTCATAAGGAGCTCACATTTATTCTAACAGGCAATGGTAAGCCATTGAGGGAAGTGACTGAATATACATTCCGGGAAGACACTGTTTTTCTGGTGATTAATCATTATTCCTAAATCAAGGATTTTTAGTCTTTGAAATGAATCACTGTAAAAATAGTGTTTATAATCAAGAACTTTATTGAGAAAATATCAAAGAATTTATTAAATCATGGGATAATTTGTAAAGGTAACTAATCTTGGTATTTTTTTTTTACACTGTAAATAATCTAGTAAATGGAGACCCATCTTTCACTGACTTGAGTTTGTACCAAAACAGAATCGTTACCTATATTTCCATATCCCCCACCACCACTCTAATTTATTCCTTACTTCCACTCTGAAATGTCATTGCTTTGGGAAGTGCCTTGTTATTAATAACAGAGAATTTCTGTTTTATTGCTTGTTTTAAAAGCTACAGTGGTTATCTGGGAGAAAGGAAAGTACTGCTGGTAAACTATCTATGGATATACACATTATTTTTAAAACAGTGTTCTTTTTCAAAGATGTATTTCCCTGAATGGAGAACAACACCACGCTTTCAAATAAATAATGAGTCCCCAAAGGACTGCAAAGTGAGGTAATAAAATATTTGAATTTTTCTCCTGTATAAGAATGTCTTTTATAAACTTTATAAAACAGTTCTTCCTTTGATTAATATAATAGAAATTAGTATTTGCTGTTCTGTTCTGTGCTGTTCTAATAACAGTATTTTTATGCCCCAGGAAACTATTAGTATGTGAACCTGAGACATGTGGAAAATTCTTGATAGCAGAGGCAGAAACACATGTTACTTTTCATTCTCTAACAGGCACATGATATTGCCATGGACATGGTGGGCACATATTTTTGAACACATGGAATGTGTTCACAATGATACCACCTGAATTATGTAAGTGTTGATCAATATGTGGTAACATATAGATCAACTTGGACCATTCTCTAAGGAACAAGCTCTCTTTTGAAAAAAAAAAGTAATAACACAGGGGTTAATAGAATGTGTTTTTCCCTGTTTGATCATTTCTGAATGCACAAAGATTTCATTAATGTTGATTTCACCCATCTTGTCCATGTTTACATGCTTTGATGTTCAAGTCCTTTGTAGTGCCACATTAGATCTAGGGGAACACTGCCCTATGAGAGCAAGTGGAAACTGCTGTGGGAAAATATTAAAATGAAACTTAATACTGTGTATAGATTTGTGCAGATAAGTCAGCTCAAAGAATTTTACTTCTGATGAGGCAGAAAAAGAATTAATGCCATCTTCTCATATCCCTTTTTGGGGTTACTATATTTTTATCTGTTAATAGAAAATTATAATGAGTTGGAATGTTTCAAATGGAAATTATTAAAATTTAACTTCAATAAAATAAAGTGAGATAGAATTGAAAATATCTCAACTGATTCCTGAAATTTTAAGAATGCAGGTTCTGGAAAGATGGTTGCAAAATGATAACTGAAAAAAAAATTATTGATAGCAACACCAGTGATCCCTTCACTACAATACTGGAAATAAAGGGTTAACAGCTGGTTCCTGGTCTTTCTTTCAGTTTCAGGAAATCCTAAAAAGTTGACTCTTGGTTGAATCATCTTTTCAATTCAAGCAGTTCATGGGTGTATACTGGATCCAAAATAAATGAGAACTGGGGAGTGGTTGTGTACTAGACTAAACACCTACATTTCATTGTTGGGAGTACTTATTGAATAATAAATGAGAACTGACTAAATGACGTTGTACCAGAGAATGGGAACTGGTGACATAATCTTGTGAAGGCTGCTTGACAACTAAGGCATCAAAACTGGATAGACTCCAGGGGTGTCTGAGTGGCTCAGTGGGTTAAGTGCAGGGCTTCTGTTCAGATCATGATTCTGGTGGGGTCCTGGGAGAGAGCCCAGAGTTGGGCTCCCGGCTCAGCGGGGAGCCTGCTTCTCCCTCTCCCTCTGCGGCTCCTCCTGCTTTCGCCCTCTCTCACTTTATCTCAAATAAATAAATAAATAAAATCTTAAAAAAGAAAAGAAAAGAAAAGAAAACTGAATAGACTCCAGAGCTGGAGGCTTCTCTGAGGTGTGGTTCCTAAGTCGACTCAGTCTAGTCTTGGATAAGGAGTAACTGTGCACACTCAGAAGCATTTCAGGGAGTCACAAAGCTTCTGCTAGTTCTTGACATCTTTGTTGTATCACTTGTCTTGTGATCTTTGGATACACTTGATGTTGGATAAAGCCTGTTGTGTCATGGATATTATCATATACATGAAACCAAGAATTGTGCGGCTGTTCTAGTAAAGTGGGCCCTGCAACCATAATAACAGATTAATAAAAAGTATCATTTCAGCATAGTCTGTCTGCTGAAGTAAATGCTCTTCCAATAAGAATAGAGTAGTCGCATTATCCATGCTCAAAACTGTTCCTGTTTGTCCTGTTTCCTTTCCAGATCAGATTGAAACTAAACAGACTGCCATATTTCATGAATTCTACATAGAATTTGTGCAACAACAGGTTTTCATTTCAAATTATTACTCTTATATGCTTTGACAGGTCTGAAACCAAAGATGTATGCTGTGTTAGATAGATAGATAAATATAGATAGATAAATATAAGATGTGTATTTTTCTCTATATATAATATATAAATAAGATGTATATTACATGATGCATATTATTAGTAACAGCTGATACATCTCATTGCTTAAATTCAGATATCCATTGAATGCTGTGTTTTACAAGAATTTTAATAAATCCTTGGAAGGTACAGATTTTTCAAATTTGAAATGATATGAATGAATACGATAAGCCACAGACACAGAGAATAATTGTAAAAATAAAACAAAACAAATATTGCAAGTGTTTGAGGTATTGACAGCAAGATGGCAATAAGTATACACTTCTGAATACAACTATTTTTGAAATAGCAAATATGTGTCTGTGTGTTAAAAATCAATAATTATATTTAGTAATAATTCATTAAATTTATCTTCACGACTATAATCCCAAATATCACCATTTAAATAACTGACCAGCTAATTTAAAGGTACCTACCTACAAAGATGACTATTAAAAAAATGTGGTACATAATTTTTTGACAAACATTTTCTCACCAAGAACAATAATTGGCTCTTCACATTTAAGGGCCAAATCTCTGTAAGCAAAGTTCTAAATGCATGGAATCCATCATTACTCAAAATTGTCTAATGCATGATAAAATTCAATAAAATCTGCTATTTGTTACAATTTGAATTTCATTACTACTAAACTCATACTTTATAATGCCATGATAGTTACTTTAAAAATATATAATGCTTACTTAATGAGGGAATTTTGACATGTAATGTGCTTCTTTATTTTTTCTCGATTAAGCTTGTGTAGCCCCAGGGCACAGGAAATATTGATTCATATGGCAGGGTTGATAAGCATCAACTCTCCCTTATGACTTGGGCCAGCACGCTGCTCATGAATCCAGCAGATGTTTCTACTATCTGGGCCAATGGAAACCTTATGGACCTTTTTTTCCTTCATCTCCTCCCAGGAGCAAATGTTAGCACAGCAGAAATTTGGATTCATGCCAAATAGAAAGCAGAAGTGTTGGTGAGAAAATAGGATACACTTTTATCCATAAATAGTGGTCATCAGTAATGTGAATTGAGTATTAAGCCATTTTAAT